GCATTCCTTGAGATGCCCGTTTTAGTTATGATGTTATATGAATAAATTATTCATCAATTTCATTAAAGGCTAATTTCTACTTAAAAAAAAATTAATTTTTTAGTTTCTTAAATTTAAGAGAAATTTATTTTTATTCTCATAAATTTAAAATAATTTTTTTAGTCCTATAATTTTAAAAATTTTATTTTAATCTTTCATTTTCAACTTTTGTTAGAGAATTTTCATATACTATTCTATAAAATTTATTTACTAATGTTTTTATTAGTAAAAATATTTTATTAAACTCAATTAAAATGATCAATCAATCACTTTCAAATATGTTATTAATAATTTAATAAATTATAATAAAAAATTTAAAAATTATAAGACAAAAACAAAATTTTAAATTTGAGAGACAAAAATAAATTTATCTTAAAAATAAATGATTAAAAACATATTTATATTATTTTTTTAATAAAAATTCTCCTCTCAATCAAATTTCTTTCTAAACTCTAATCCCTACACCTTTAAAAATACGTTTTACAATCAAAGATGAGAACAAAATTTGTCCTTTCCTTTAATACACGAAAAAAAATTATTTTTTCATAACTTTGAAACTAGGAATGTTATTTTCTTGTATTTGATTTGTTATTTAAAAAATAACATGTCTAAAATACATTATTTCTTATAAATACTTATTACATATATTTTTCATGAAATTATATTTATTTATTTAATATAATAAAAAAAATTAATTCTCAATTAATATTTATAAATATTTTAAAAAAATATTTATGATCAACAAAATAAATTTTATTTATCATTTCATGATTTTCATGAATCATGATATCACTTATCAAGTTAGTAAATATTTTATATTATTATAAAAAAATTAATATAAAAAGAAATTCCAAACGTGAGCGGGTATTTTGAAGCAGTCGCAAGTCGCAAGCAAAAAAGTGTTGTCAGCTCAGCTCAGCTGCCTCTTGACTCGTACGTGCGGTGAGAGTGCTGCTTTAACTTTTTGCCTATCATTTCAGTTGTCAAGCAATTCAATTTTGCCTCTTCCACGCAATTATATCCATTTTTTTATACTATATTTACGTACCTCACTTTGCTTACTAAACTTTTTTTCTATAATTTAACCAACAAAAGTTTCCACCTTGCACTAATTTAACACACATTTGGTCTCAAGAGTTTAGATAAATTAATAGCCTAGCTTGCTCATATTTTATAATATAATTCTGTATAAGTGGAAATATGAATTCATATTATATGTTAGTAAAAGAGAATAATTCCTTGATCCATTTCATTAAAATCATCTATTTATATATACATTATACATAGTATAATTTAGATATTATATAGAGTATAATTCGGATATTATACAGAGTATAATTTGTCTAAAATTGGGAAACAAATTAGCTATAAATAAGGAACTAAATATACGCCTAACATATATTATAATAAATCAGAATATATTATTATATATTCTAACACATCCCGCAGTCGAAGCAGGAGGTCGTCGAATGTTAAGACTTTCTCGAAAATCCTCAAATAACGGAAGACCCTTGGTGAAAACATTTGTAATTTGATAACGTGAGGGGACATGAAGCACTCGAACCTGGCTGCGAGCAACCTTTTCTTGAACAAAATGTATATCCATTTCAATATGCTTAGTGCGTTGATGCTGAACAAGATTTCCAGCAAGGTATATGGCACTAACATTATCACAATATACCAATGTAGCCTTTTGAATTGGACAATGAAGCTCCAAAAGTAAGTTTCTCAACCAACATGACTCAGAAACCACATTGGCAATCCCTCGATATTCCGCTTATGCACTAGATCGTGATAAGGTAGGTTGTCGTTTGGTGAACCAAGAGATTAAGTTATCTCCTAGAAAAACACAATAACCAGACGTAGAACGTCGTGTATCTGGGCACCCACCCCAATCAGCATCCGTATAAGAACGAAGGGAGGATGTAGAAGATGAATATAGATGAAGACCAAAATCCATAGTACCTTGAAGGTAACGCAAAATGCGTTTGAGAGCGTGCATGTGCTCCTCCCTTAGGTCATGCATGAATAAGCATACATGTTGTACGACATATGTAATGTCGAGTCTTGTGAATGTAAGGTACTGAAGAGCCCTTACAAGACTTCTATAAAGAGATAGATCCTCAAAAGGTGTGGTTGTAGCAGCACTGATCTTTGGTATGGTATCAACAGGAGTAGGAGATGGCTTACACGATAACATGCCAGCTCGGTCAATGATCTCTGCAACATATTTTTTTTATAGATAAAAATAAGCCACCTACATGACGAGTGACATTGATGCCCAGAAAATAGCTCAAAGGTCCCAAGTCCTTCATAGCAAATTTCGAGCTAAGACAGGATATGATAAACTTACGAAGCTCATCAGAAGAAGCAGTCAAAATTATATCATCCACATATAACAATAAATAAGCCATAGAAGTACCTTGATGATAAATGAACAAAGAATGATCCGCAGTACTGTGAGAAAACCCAAGAGTACGGACATAGTTAGCAAATCTCTTATACCAAGCCCGTGGGGCTTGTTTAAGCCCATAAAGAAATTTCTTTAGAAAACACACATGATTAGGTCGATCAGGGTCCCGAAACCCCAAAGGTTGATGCATGTAAACAATTTCCTTGAGTTCTCCATGTAAGAATGCATTTTTTTACGTCAAGTTGATGAATAGACCAAGCTTTAGAAAGAGCCAAACTAAGAACTATGCGAATAGTTGCTGGTTTGACCACCGGACTAAACATTTCACCACAATCCACGCCAACCTGTTGAGTTTTACCATCACCTACAAGACGAGCTTTATGCCTCTCAAAAGAACTATCAGATTTGTCTTTATGAGAAAAAATCCACATAGACCGAATTACATTAACATTAGGTGGACAGGGCACCAACTCCTACGTCTTATTATTAATAAGAGCATCATATTCATCATCCATAGCCTTTTTACAATTCGGGTCACAAAGAGCAGATACAGGGTTACGAGGTAGTGGGGACTTAGACACAGAGGTAAGAAGAGTGAAGGGCTTTTTAGGCTTATAAATCCCATGTTGGCTTCTAGTAACAAACCTTTTTGGTGGGCTTGGATGTGAGCTTGGAGTTGGGCGAGGAAGAGAGATGGGTAGGATAGGAGGTGGGGTGGAGGGGCTCGGCTTAGTCGGCATGGGAAGGCTTTGTTGCTGGTTGGGCAAGTCGGTTGCTGGATCCGGCAAAATGGGCTCTAGAGAGTTGGGTAAGGGAGTAGCTTGTGGTCTTGTTTGAGTAGAGAAATGATAGACCATGTAGGGAGATGGTCCATCGTCTAAAAACTCATAAGTGTGATTTTGAGGAGTATGTAACTGTACAAAGGGAAATTGCGTCTCATCAAATATTACGTGACGGCTAATGATGATTTTTTGAGATGATAAATCAAAGCATTTGTAACCATGATGATTCGGAGGATACTCCAAAAAAACACAAGAAGTAGACCGAGGTTGAAGTTTGTTTATGGTTGTAGAAGGAATGAGAGGATAACATAAACACCCAAACACCCGAAGATGAGAATAAGATGGGTCCTTTTGATAAAGGATTCGGAGAGGAGATTGATAGTTTAATAACTTGTGGGAAGAATATTGAGAAGGTAAGTTGTCATTTGCAAAGCGTGATGCCAAAAAGAAGGGGAAAAAGAAGCATGGGCCAATAAGGTACGGACAATGTTGTTGATTGTACGGATTTGTCTTTCAGCTTTCCCATTTTGAGGGGATGTATGAGGACATGAAAAACGAAAAGAAATACCATTAGCTTTACAAAATTCCCAAAAAGGCCCATTATCAAATTTTGTGCCATTATCACACTGTATATTTTTTATGTCTCGTTCAAATTGAGTTCGGATGAGGGATTTAAAATAAAAAAATGTGTAATAAGTTTGTGATTTTTGCGATAAAGGAAATGTCCACAAAAATTTAGAATAATCATCCACAAAAATTTAGAATAATCATCCACAAACAAGACATAATATCTATGACCCGATGAACTCAAAATAGGTGACGTCCAAAGATCACTATGGATAATATCAAATGGCATAATAGTGCAAGAATTTAAAACATAAAATGGCAACGTAACATGTTTTCTAAGAGGACATGAATGGCAAATACGAGAATCCTTAATTTGATTACACTTAATCAATTTATTCTTCTTAAGGGAGGTCAAAACAGGGGCTCCCGGGTGACCCAAACGATCATGGAGATGGTGTTACAACAAGAAATGTATATGGGATTTGTAGGCTTGGTGATGGGATAAAGCTCGCCCTGACTCTCACACCTCATTACAGGCTTCCCCGTCTGAAAATCCTTCACAGAAAATCCAAAGGGATCAAATTCAACAGAAATAGAGTTATGAGTTGTAAACTTTCTAACTAACACCAAGTTTTTAACAAGTTGAGGAGCATGAAGGACATTGTTTAATGTTAAAGGAGGACACGGGGAAGACAATTTGGTGTGACCATAGCCATGAATTGGAATTGAATGACCGTTACTAACAATTATACCATGTTTGTTGCTCATATTAAAATAAGACGTGAAGTTACCTTGTGCGGATGTCATGTGAGAAGTAGCACTAGTGTCCATGTACCAATTTGCATCCGGAGGACTGATGCCGAGAGTATGCATTGCGACTTTTATGTTTGTTGGAGTTGGTGCTGCGGTGTAGGCTTGCAGAGGTCTGGGCCCAAGTACACCAGGCTGTTGACGCTGCTGTTGTCCAAATTTGGGCCTAACCCATGAATTAGAAGGGTACGGACAAGGAGGTATAGCCCATGGAGCCATCCACTGCCAAGGCCACGGTTGTCCGCAAGGCCATGGGACATTGGCCGGAGCTTGCTGACTGGCTTGCTGTTATCCACCACCGCGACTATTGCTGCCTCTGATTATACCCCCACGGCTGGTGCCGCCACGACCACCATTGTTGCGACGATTTTTCACTCCATTATTATTGCGATTTTTGGCTCCTCTTCCCACCATTATTGTGGTTCGAAGAGGGATAATCAAAAACATCAGGAGAGTCATCCGAGTCACAAGCAATCATGGCGGATGACGAGTTCTGTGCTACCTTTTTGGTAAGGCCGGCCTCTTCAAGAGTGAGCATCGAACGGGCTTGATAAAATTGGGGCAAGGGATCACTTTGGCGAATAAGGGTGGCCACACCGTTGTAGGGCTCGGTGAGACCAGAGACTAGTTGAAGAACAAGTTTGTTGTTGTCGACGGGAAAATCGACATTCTTGAGTTGATCCAACATAGATTTGAGATGTTGACAATATGCAGAGACATTTGGAAAATCTGCCATGTCTGTGTGAATGAAGTCATACTCTGTCTGAGGAACTTTCTCCTTACCTTTCGCTGGAGGAATAATATGATCAATTACTTTATGGGATCGTGCGTGAATTTTGAAGAGTTCCGCCCATGTCATGTAGAAGATTTTGAGTCAGACATGGAGGTTGATAGGAGGATGAAGAAGACAAAGAAGCAGGGCGGAACGCTAGGGCGGTGAGTGAAAGTCAGAGAAAAGGTGAAGGATCTTTTCCTAAGAAATCTGATACCATAAAAGAGAATAATTCCTTGATCAATTCCATTAGAATCATTTGTTTATATACACATTATATAGAGTATAATTAGGACACTATACAGAGTATAATTTGGTTAAAATTAAAAAAAAAAAAAGCTATAAATAAGAAACTAAATATACGCCAAACAGATATTATAATAAATCAAAATATATTAGGATATATTCTAACAGTTACCTATAGGCGACCAAATGTTAATTTACTATCTTTTAGTAGTAGGCCACGTACGCGAATTTCTGTTGAAAGATATTTAACAATAACAAGATTTTAATATTTTCAAAAATTTGTTTTGAGTCTTCGAAATCGAAGGTTAACTCTAACCTTTCACTGCTTCTGCCCCAGCTAATAGGAAATTTCATATTGAAATTTAGGATTTACATAGGAGAAGGTTAATTTAATGAGATATAGCCACATTAAAATTCTAGCAGCTATAATATTGTTGTAAACGATATTGAACATACGTAAACATATATATAATAAATAAGTGCAAGCAATAAAATACATGAAAATGATCATAAAAACAGATAGAAGAAAGAAGAAGAAAAAAAGGTTCTCTTGAATGGCAACATAATACATGTGTTGAGCCAGTGAAGTCGAGTAGGACTAGGACTAGGAACATAATTTGTTGGTTTACATGCTTTTATATAATATAATTGCTTTTTACTTTGTTCCTTTTTGAAGTCAAGAATTGCTTCTTGCTTGAATTCACGTTAAAGTAGGATTTTGAATTGAAATTTTCAACTATTAATAATTTTCCATATAGTAGCAGGCTAGGGGTATAATTAAAAATATTTGATTTGAATTGCTGTCAAAAGGCATACTTTTTGCTTGTATTAGAGGTAACTGTTTAAAATCATTTATCTCATATTTTAGATATAATTAAAAATGCAATAATGGGCCAGTTTATTCTTAAATAATTTTGAAATAATCAAGATTAAATATGATCTAATAAATCAAAACTAGGTTTATTACCATTTTGTTTTTGCGTATATGTAAATGTTAAATGCAAGAGAAAAAGTATTTCAAACAATGATGAATTAATTAAACGTAAATGTCTTATTTATCATATGAATAAACTTTAATTAATGCGTATGGGTACTGACAGTTATGTTGTTAACCAATTCCATATGAGTTTAAGGATTATATACTAATGCGGAATAATTTTACACTATTAACTAATAAATATTATTGTTGATATAATATTTTATTTAATTATGATAAAAATTAACAATTTATCATGAATAATAATTTATAATTAAATATTATTACAAAATTATGTTTAGTATGATTTATCATAAATCATCATTTATGATTGAATATCTTTATAAATCCAAAAAAAAACCTGTATATTATAAATATTTTTTAGGAATAATGAATGAATTTGGGTTTAATTTTAATTCTAAATTAAGAGTTGATTCAACACCAATGACTTGGACTTATATATATAGCTAATAAAGTAATCGTATTAACTTTTGAGGCCTAATTTATTTATAGTTTTTGCTAACTAATAATGTTTCGTTTTTTTCTATTGTCCTACATAGAAAATTAAACTATGCGGCATGTGTTATATTTTATTTTCTCTTGAGAATGAGTTTCATTTTCCTGTAATATGATATTGTATGTCGTTAGCAATTTATATATATAGTTTAACAATGCACGTGTTGATTTTAATGATATCAACACTATCTAATTTCTTTTCACCAACTGAGGGCTGTCTTATAGAAAATTGTTACTAATTTTGTCTTTTGGGTACCAAACTCTTTACACTTGGACAAATTCATTGAAAAATTGTTTAATTTACTTACATAGATAAATCTGAAGCGTGCATGCAAACGCTAGCATGTATTTATATAATTTTATGCAGTCATTTTTATTTTATATAATTATAATCTATTTTATTTTAAAATTAATAAAAAAATTAAATATATTTTTAATCTTTTAAATTTAAAGTAAATTTATTTTTAATTTCTCAAATTTAAAATTAATCTTTTTAATTTTTCAAATTTAAAATTAATTTTTTTAATTTCTTAAATTTAAAATTAATCTTCTTTTAATCTTTATAATCAATTTTTTTAAGAAGTTGTCGAATACAATCACAAAAATTTATCTACTAGTATTTCTATTATTAAAAATATAAATTAAATATAGTTAATATTGTATAAGTAAATCAATTTATAACTTTTAAATATATTATTAGTGACATGAAGAATTAAAACAAAATTTTTAAAAATTATAGGACTAAAAAATTAATTTTAAATTTAAAAGATCCTAAATTTAAAGATTTAAAATCATATTTAAACCTTAATAAAATTATATAAAAATATAAAAACCTTAAAAAAAATATAATAAATCAAATTTAATTTCAAACTGTGCAAACACAATATAACCCATTCAAAAATCCGTCTAATTCGAAACGATGTTCAAGTAAAAGATGGCCTAAACTTATAATCAACCATACGATTCGATTAGATATTTTTACTTGAACCGTCCGATGTCAAATTCTTCCATATTAATTATGCAACAATAAATTAGATTTTTTTTGTTCGTCTCTGGAGTATCCACCGCATCTCCTCGCTATGTTGGAGGCACCTCAAAGGGTGAGATAGCTGGCCCCAAAATTTAACGCGGCTGCATACACAAGACTATCATTGTATAGCTGATAAAATTATTTTATGAGAATTATTTTTATAAGATTATTATACACAACTCTATAATGATAAAATATTATTCATTTTGGACTTAAGTTCTTACGGTTTTGCTTTTAGTCATTACTTAAAAAATTTCTTTAACATTAAAATATGTGCATACTTTATAAATTGTTATTTTTTTTTTAATTTTATATGAGACTTATTTTTACTCTAACGTAATCTTAATATTTTCGCTGAACTTACACGTTAGTATTCCAATTTGATTAATTGGTAATATATTAGTGTGACTGTATATCTTGGACTTCACCTTAATTTTATCGACCATGATTGTGACTTGCAACATACATTCCCCATTCCCGATTACTCTTGTAATGTTTATTGTTTTATTTCTAGGAACTAGGAATGCTACGATTTTTCTTCCCTGATATGATATATTTTTGCCCTCCTTTGATGTTTTGTTTCTTTCAAATGTCATCAACCTCTGTCTATTCATTGAGCACCCAATTAAGGTCTTCATATCTTTTCCGATAAATATAAAAAGTCTTAGTATAAACCAATATTTTCCAACATACATCCTTCTTTGGCTGTTTCTTAACGTTTATATTGACTGGGAAACTTTCTTTGCGACTAATAATCTACCAATTGTAACAGAGCTTGGCTAATTTAATAACTTTGATAATTGACTTAGGTACTGGTCCATTTTGAGATATTCTTTTTGGGATTAGATTTGAATACGGGAATCTGTCTGATTTTGTTTGCTAGCTACTGTGGAAACTTTAATCGTGATGACCAATATTATGCTCGTGTTGTGTACTAAAGTTAGGACATGAATTGAAGGAAAGTTTACAAGGAAAATGCTTTTGATTATTGGCTCAAAACGTAGTAAGTTGGTTTAAAAGTATTAGAATAAGTTTGGATATGGGGGTGATATAATTGATTTTTAGTAATAGTGAGTTAAAAGTAATGTAATTTTTTTTAATTACAAACGATATAAATTTAATTTTTATATTGAATGTTGTTTGAAAGCTTGTTAATAAAATTGATTTAAGTATATAATTATAAATTTAGGTAAATAAAACCTCATAATTAATTATGTTTGATGAAAATATTATTAACAATTGTTTCTAAATAGATATGAATTTTCACATCTTGAAATCAACTCTTTTAATAGTAAATCATGCTACAACATGATTTTAATCATTTTAAATGCAATAAAATTAATTTTAGACATATTTGATGTAGAATCAAATATACTCTTGTGATATGTGATTGAAATTGATTTTAAATATTAATTAATCAAGTATTGAATGAGACCACGAGAATTACGAAGATGCAACATCAAGTAATATTAGCATTAACGGATGTTATTGTGTATTTTTTTTTTCTTTTAAGATTAAATTATTTAAATTCTATCTAACATAAATAATGTTGCAAGATAGATAAAATAATTTTGTTATTTTACCTCTTTAAGAGTGAAATATTATAATTATTTTATTATAAAAATTAATAAATGATTTTGATCTTTCACTTTTTAATCAATAAATGATTTTGATCTTAAAAATTAGAAGATAAATATAATAATTAAAACTTAATAGGATATTTGATCTATTTAAAATTGTCTTAAGCTCAATTTTTTTTATAAAAAAACTTGCCTATCCAAGAGATGAATAGTAATAGAAATCATGCATGTAGAATATGAGTTTAAAATTCACCCTCTCGAATATAGCATTTGATATGAGCGAAAGAGAAGAGAAATATTTTTATAAAATTCTATTTTGGTTCACAAGTTTATGTTGAATTGTTAATATATTTATATCAAGATATTGTATTCTCTCTATTTTTAATATATTTTACTTCTTTTCACATTTTGAGTCCATTGTCTTATTAAGTCAAACGAGATGTACTTGTAAAAAATACTTTGGTATTTAAGTAAGTAACTCATTCGGTGTAATAAATATGAATATCTTATGATTAGATTTCATAAATTAAAATTAATTTATATATAAATTAAAATTAGTTTATATATAAGTAAATTTATAAAAAAAAACATTTTTATGTTAGTTTTTTCAAAACTTTATTTTCATCTTACTTTATATGGAAACTAAATTTCTTAACAAAATTTAACAATTTACAAAATTCGTAAATATTTTATATGAATCCCAATATAATATGTTGACGCAAAAGAAAAACTGTATTTGTAAGGGCCACGAGAAATCACAGAACTTTATTATTTATCCAACAAAGTTCGTGGGCTTTTAAAACACTGTTGTAAGCCTGCCTGTTCATTATTGAATTGATTATTGATTCGCTGAATATTGTCGCAAAAATTATGATTAAATAAGCCTGTTAATTAACATAAATTAATTTTATTTGATAATTACAATATATTTTGATCAAAATAAATTATTATCAGCTTAAATTGTTATATTTATTTTTAATTAATAAAATATATTATCATGATAATAATAAAATTTGAATATAAGACTTTATGTATATTACACCATCCTTAATCATCCAGACCCTTTATCAACTTAAATTGTCAGATTTATATTCACCATAAAATTCAAAATTTCAATTAAATCATTCGATCATCTTTTCAACATTTTAGATTTAAAGTCCAGGAAAATATTAACTAATTCCTATACTATTTCGGGAATTGAAATTGAAAGAAAATTGTTTAAAATTAATTAAAATTGTAATTCCTATTTATAGATAATCATATGTTGATTAAAGATCAGGAAAATATTAACTAACATTGGATTTAAAATTGAGTTCCTATTTATAGATAATCATATGTTGATTATTTAAAATTGTTTTAAATTAATTAATGTGATTTTGATTGATACGTGAGATTATTAGAATTCGAATATGTTGATTATCTCGAAGATTATATGTCATCTCAAAGAGAAAAATTAGCATATCCTTGAGAACTAGTTTTAAAATTTTAAAGAAACTAAAAATTATTCCATAAAAAACATGTGTAGTTTATTTTATATCATGTCATGGTTTACAGTTTATAGTTTATACATTGCTAAAAAAGGTTTGGAAAGTGTAAACTCACGACTCACACTAGGCTTGGCGTTTGCTTTTGCACCTTTCTTCGGTAAAAAAAAAAAAAAAAAAAAAAAAAAGGGAAAAATAAACAAAACGACGATGGCACTGTTTCGGGAAAAATGAACAAAACGACGATGGCACTGTTTCTGAGTTGCGTTTCCTTTTTGGCGTTCTTTTCCCTTTCCTGGGGTTTTACTTTATCTTTCTTCCAGGGAAGTGATGAGAATATATACTTTATTTTATTTTATTTATTTTTATATAATATCTTTTACACATAAATGATTTAACCAAATTTGTTCCTATCTGTGTTTTGTTTTCTCCACACAATCTCTCTCTCTCTCTCTCTCTACAAACCCTTCTTTCTTCTCTTGGCTGCTCACTGTAACTTGGCGAAGCCATGGCTTTCAGAGTCGGAGAGGGAAGGGTAAGCTTCATTTTTTCTTCTTCTAATTTTGACCGCGTTTTTTTCACGCTCTATTTTTGCTCATTTTCCCCCCTACAAATTCTGGCGTTGATTCCTCCTATTTTGGGTTTCGGATTTCCTTATTTTGTATCTGTACTCACGTGTTTCTAGTTTTTTACACTCACTTGACATTAAATCGATGTTGATCTTGGTATACAGCTATGTAGATATTGCAGGTTTTTTTTTTTTTTTTTTTTTTTTTTTTTTTTTTTTTTTTTTTTAGTGTTGTCTTTGGTTTGGGTGATGGATGCATGTATTTTGATGCATTTGAGTTGGTCCTCTCGTATATGTTATGTTTTCAGTGCTATGTTGGGTTGACTATGAGTATGGCTTAGAAATTGGAAATGAGAAAATCTTTGATCTTTCCCTTGGCTTAAATTGCAATTGGTTTGTGATACAAATGATCTCATAAAAAGGTTAAGAAATAGTCCTAGATTATTTGCTATCAAATGAGAGTTTATTGAATACTTTATTCCTTCCTCATGCATGAAGTTGCTTTGTGTTGCAATTAACTTTAAGGTTGCCTGTATCAGAATTTTCTCTTAATTCAGGGCATTGGGTTTTACTGGCACATCTTGTGCAGTAAATTTGATCCTTTGAAATTCAGTTTTGCTTTTTTGAAAAAAAAAAATAGGGCGTTGGATGCAGGACAAGTAAGTACGGGTTATCAATTTTGATATATTTTTTTACACCCATAGTGCATATGCATCTCGTGTCCTGGAGTAAGAGGACTTGCACGACTTAGTTGAAGTATTTTGTTTGAGTACACATAAAGGAAATAGCATTTTTGTCCCCTGATTGATTTTGCTGGAAGGACATTATCATCATTATTACTATTGGTTATATGGTTAAAATATTGAATTTGAACAGGACAATAATTTAGAAATTATATGTGGCTTCAATGTAGAAATTATATGTGGCTTCAAGGTAGGGAAACGCCTCCTCTGGCATGGGTGTTGCTGAGCATAGCGTAAACACATTCCTGGAGTTACAGAGGAAGAAAGTTCATCGCTATGTGATTTTTAAAATCGATGAGAAAAAGAAAGAGGTTGTGGTTGAAAAAACTGGAGGTCCTGCTGAGAGCTATGATGATTTCACTGCATCCTTGCCTGAAAATGATTGCCGATATGCTGTCTTTGACTTTGATTTTGTGACATCTGAGAACTGCCAAAAGAGCAAGATCTTTTTTATAGCATGGTTAGTCACCTAGTTTCTTGTACAATGATAGAAGTTTTGCATATTAATTCATTCAAATTTTCCACATTGATTGCTGTATTCACTGCTTTACATATGTTGATATAGCTTTTTACTGTTGTATACTTGCATTTACATATCTTGCACTCAAGTCTTAAAATACAGATGATTTATTATTAGCTAAGACAAGAATCTGGGAGGGCATCATGATCACTTTGCTCATCTAAAGATGCATTTATGGGTAAAGTGGAAAGCAGATGACAAAACGTAAATTCTGTACAATGACGTAATTCTCTAGTATGTCTTCATATAATTCCTTTTGTTTAATATCTTAATGTAACTCTTTTTTATAGGCAAATAAATTTTTATTAAAATGAGTACAAGGGGGTACTCAAATCTTTTACAAGAACCAGACCAAATAAATCAAGTGCAGGTCCAAAACTAACAACATTGTCCTAAACAAGTTTAAGTATCCAGGTACCAGTCAGAAAAAGACAACAAATCCATTCTATTCTCCTGGTAAATAATGATCAAGTTTGAGCATTTATGAGATTCATCAGCCTACCAGTGAGCTTTATCTCCCTTTTGGATCCAATCATCCCTCTCATTTAGATAGTGAAATGAAGGAAAGTGAAGGACAAAGTTCTACCAAAAGATTTTCCTTCCACACAAACAATTTATGCCTCTACCTCCTCTTTCCACTCACCCATGTCAGTAATGAAAGGATCTTCATCCTTTGAAATTAGAAAAACCTATGGATGCTTGACGAGTCTTTCCATGTATCATGCCAAAATTTAGCCTTCTCTCCACTCCTTAACCTTCTCTCTACCGTGAGAGAAAACCATAAAGGGGAATGTTTGTAACACATTCAGCACTACGTAACACGACAATCAAAACTAAGTTAATGCAGTTAGTATTCTATTCTTGATCTTGTCAAGGCCTATCCTAAATGCACCAGAGAGGTGGAGGCTCAAGACCAAGTATTTCGAAAAATTCTTAAATCTGAACTGGCTTCTTTTGCATTCTCTCCATCTTGTTTACAAAATTTATATTGAATTGTTTTCTTGAAGTTACAGGGTGGAATCTAGATCTTGGTTAAGCTATTAAGTTTCTCTTTGTTTATTATTTAGAAAAAATAATACACAGTATAAATGGAGTGCATGGAGTCATTCGTTATAGCATGAGAGGTTGGTTGTTTCGACAGTTAGTTTTTTAAGGTAGAAGGACTTCTAATATTTGATTTGGGATCTGGGTGATATTTGGTTGGTGCAAGTTTTATCAGATCGCTGAAAACCTATTACCTGGGTATATATCAAGTTATATTTTCAAATGGAGTAGGGGTAAGTTGTAAAAGATTTGTTTATATATTTTCAAGCAAAATTGAACTTTAATTATTACTGTAACACCTTGTTGAAGTGGGGACTGTATATGTTTTTCCTTCTCTGCTAGACTTATTCACTGGTATGTTCCTTTGTTAGCTTTGAGACCCTTTTTTTTTTTTTTTCCCGAGTTGGTTGTTTTCTCCTCTTATTTCGAGTACTTGATATGTATGGTCTTCTTCACTAAGTTTATGTTATAAGTGATTTATAATCAAAGATAAAGATAGATTAGCTATTAAAAGATAAGATAGATTAGCTACTAGAAGATAAGAATAAATTATTCATTAGAAGATAAAGATAGATTCAGTTAAGAAATAAGGATTATAAATAAGATCCTAGTGTAATCAGCAAATTATCAATAATACAATTATATTCTTATATTTCCTCTTCTATTCTCGTGTGAGATTGAGAGAGTGAGTGGTGTTAGAGGAGAACTCCAATTCTCATCTAACAGTTTATGTGATAGTTTTTGTTTACCATTCACTTAACATGAACTAGTGTCCGTGTGTATACATATGGTTTGTTAAACCATCTTAACCATTTCTTCATTGTTATGTTATTTGTCTTTTTAGGTGTCTTTGATTATATTACACACTGAGCATGATCACAAGATATATAGTCTTGAAAGAATTGTTGGGTCAGTGTTAAAACACGATTCACAGTTACTGTTGTTGGCACAGATGTTATTGCCTTTATTCAGAGGAAGTTTCTGTTAAATAATTTGGCACATATGTTATTACCTTTATTCTGCTTTTCAGTTTACGAATGGATTATTTTACAGGTCTCCTTCAGTAGCCCGCATTCGCCCTAAGATGCTTTATGCAACATCCAAGGACAGGTTCAGAAGGGAGCTGCAGGGCATCCATTATGAGATTCAGGCAACAGACCCAACAGAGATGGATCTTGAAGTCCTCAGAGACCGTGCCAACTGAGCACCGTTGTGTCTAGGTGATGTAGTTAGGATATCTGAGTCCTAAGGGAATGATGTTGACTGATACCCTTTAGTTCTACTATGGTCTTTGTTTCAACATAAATAGCTGACTTGTCATTTATCAAGTAAATAACCTACACCTGTGAAGGCTGATTAGGGGTTCCTGCCTAAGAAACCCCACTGCGGGGGAATTTGAGCTCTTCCTTATTGCCATGATGCTTCTCAGGTGCAGATTAATATATCAATTACTATTGAAAATTCGACTTATCTTCTATGACTTTCAAATGGAAGCATTTGGTGAATCTACTTTGTGACATGTCAATTCATGTATGGATTCATTTTTGTGCCTTCAGTAGAAATGATGGAAATTATGCACGGCAAACAGTGTATTTGAGGTGTTCAAAACTCAAGTATGTCGTTTTAAATCTTTAAACTAATAAAGAAGAAATATGGATCAAACTATTAACCAAAACAATTTTAAACCGAAAAATCTAGAATTCTTTAGGTTTGTTTCCGTTTTTAATATTTCTATTGTTAATCTGAATCAAATCAAATCACACTATTAATATGTTTATAATGTTTTCTTGTTATATTTATAATTCATTTTTTTTCTTAAATCGTAATGTATTTTTAATAGATGTCATTTTTAAAAATTGATCAAAACTTAAAAGATTATTAGATTTTTTTATTAAAAAAAACGAAGGATACATAAAAATAAAATTATAAATCGAATAATCGATCTAAATTTAGCTCCAGAAGATTGATTTTTGGTACATAATCTCTTTTTTGGTACATTCAGAGAATCAGGATACCTCTCTAGACCTTTTGGACGAGATCAAGTGTAGAAGATTGATTTGGTTTAGCATGCTTTAATAATGTTTAAATAATTTATAAAAATTGATTTTGAATTAAATACAACTATATATTATTTATTTTTAGTTTGTTTTTTGTGTAAAAATTAAATTCAACAACTAACATTATAAATGCATGTGAACTAAAAATAGAAAAATATTTCCATAGATTTCAAATATTCTTTCACGATAAATTTTAGCGTATTAGAAATTTTGAAGAGTAATGGAATTGATTTCAGATAGTACGAGTTTTAACCAAGTATGTATTTGTAGATAAGAGGTTGGAACGTAAGTAAAAAAAGAACAATAAAGATCATATATTGTTATAGGCAATGTGCTTGCTACTCTTTTTTGCAATAGAGTTGTTTCTGTTGTTAGCTATAAGCATATTTTGCGGGAGACAAATTCAAGTGACTCATATCCCAGTCAGCGATTAGCTTTTTGTAAAAAAAAATTCATATTTGTTTTAAATGGTGATATTTTTGTCCTTGTCACAAAGAATAGGTGTTTGGCTGCGGTTTCATTAATTTTGACTAATACGAGAATTGAGTGAATTTGATATAAATGTGAATCTAACATTTACTTCATTTTTATTATTACTCTAAAAAGCCACTATTTTAAAACATCTGAAATTATTAAGTTATATCGGAATCACTCCCTTTTCCCATTTGTCTTTGTTTTTACTCTCCCAACATTTTCAGATCATAAATGTCATGGTGGGAATGATTTATAAATAAGGTTGGATGATGAACTGGGCACTGAGTGATATTATTATCCAACTGCCAGTGGCTCCACAACATTATTGCTGGAAACATCTAGATTAAACACTTATTTTAGTTCCTACTGAACTCTATTGCATTAATTTCAAAAAATATTTAACAAAATCTCAAATATGTATCTAAAAGATTAAATAAATTCTTAAATTTGTTATCCTTTTGTCTTTAAATATATATTTAATAATATTATTTTATATTTTTAAAAATTTTGTATTTGTAAAAAAATATTAATTTATAGTTTTAGGGACTTATTTGATATATTTAGTTTCAAAAACTAATATGTTTAAATTTAGAGACCAAAATGAGTATTTATTCAAATATTTAATATGATTTCTATTTCATCTCTTGTACCTGCTTAAGGATACACTCGTAGTCTTCTTGGTATACCAAGAATTTGCATTGGCCTTTGGCGAGTGGGAATGGGCCGAGAATGTTGATACCCCATAGAGCAAACGGCCAAGGGGCACTGACCGCGTGAAGCTGCTCGGCTGAGGCGTGTATTAAGTTGTCGTGTTGCTGGCATTGCTTGCATTTCTTCACGTACTCGGCACAGTCGGTCTTCAAGGTCGGCCAGTAATAGCCGGCCCTCAGCACTTTAGCAGCTAGTGTTCTTCCACTTGAGTGTGATCCGTAGATTCCTTCGTGAATTTCTCGTATAACATACTCGGCTTGCTGCTGGTCGATGCATTTCAACAAGGGTGTGGAGAACCCTCGTCGGTATAATTCCCCGGCCACCACAGAGTAGCGTGCCGCTTGGGTTCGGATCTTCTTAGCTTCAATCGGATCGGCCGGTTCGGAATCGTTAATAATGTAGTTTGTGATGTGGGTCATCCACGAACTTGAGGGTTCTTCGACTGGCATGCACTAGCTCCAAGTGGATGGTTGACCGGAGTTGTCCTAGTTTTCGACTACTGTCCAGTCGAGCTAGCTGGTCGGCTCTTTCATTGTTACAACGTGGTGTGTGTCGGACTTGTACATCATGAAACTAATCCTTCATCCCTTTGAACAGATGGTAATACTTCAACAGGTTCCCGTCCTTGACTTGAAAGTTATCATTGACCTGTTCGGCCACCACTTTCGAGTCGGTCTAGCAAACAATTTTTGTGGCTCCCATTTCGGCAGCTAACCTCATGCCGGCAAGCAAAGCTTCATATTCTGCTTGATTGTTTGACGTTTTGAAACTGAAGCGTAGTGATTGCTCGAGGGTAATACCAGATGGGCTTTCCAGGATTATGCTGGCACCACTTCCCTGCTGATTGGACGATCCGTCGACATGCATGGTCCAAGCATTATCTTCAAAATGGCCAAGTGGTGATAATTCGTTGATGAAATCGGCCAAGCTTTGTGCTTTAATGGCCCCCCGAGGTTCAAAATGGATGTCGAATTCAGACAGTTTAATCGACCATGCCATCATTCGGCCGGCCAGTTCTGGCTTTCGCAGTACTTTGGCGATCGGACAATCCGTTCGGACCACCACGGTGTGGCTCTGGAAGTATTGCCGAAGGTGCCTAGCCGCGTATATGAGTCCTAGCGCTACCTTCTCCAACAGTTGGTATCGGCGCTCGACATCTTGAAGCACTCGGCTTATGAAGTATATGGGTTGTTGTTGGTCGTCTTGTTCTTGTATCAGACCGGCGCTTATGGCCTCGCCAGAAACCGCCAAGTATAGGACTACTTCTAGGCTGGGTGTCGGCTTGGTTAGCACAGGTGGAGTGCCGAGGCGCTTCTTGAAAAGTTGAAAAGATGCTTCGCATTCATCCGTCCATTGAAACCGATTTGCCTTTTTCAAAAGGCCAAGGATCGGCTTGGAAGTCTCGGCCATACATGGTAGGAAACGAGACAATGCTGTCAGTCGGCCAGCCAACTTTTGGACCTCTTTCAAGTTCGATGGGCTTCTCATGTCGATAATAGCTTGACATTTGTCCGGGTTAGCCTCGATGCCCCGGCTTGACAGCATGAAACCCAGGAACTTGCCGCCTGAGACCCCGAATACACACTTATCAGGATTAAGTCTCATCTGGTGCCTCCGAAGTGCATGGAAGACTTCGGCCAGGTCCGTTACATGGGAAGGTGTGTCGGCCGATTTGACCACCATATCGTCTACATAAACTTCCATAATTTTTCCAATTTGATCGCCGAAGATCTTGTCTATGAGTCGTTGATACGTGGCGCCGACATTCTTCAAGCCGAAAGGCATTACTTGGTAGCAGTAATTGGCAGATTCTATGACAAATGTCGTTTTGTCCTCGTCTCGGGGATGCATTTGGATTTGATTTTAATTTGAGTATGCATCGAGAAGTGTCAGGAACTTATGACCAGCCGTGCCGTCAACCAATCGGTCTATGTTCGGCAATGGATAGGCATCCTTGGGGCAGGCTTTGTTCAAGTCTGTGTAATCAGTGCACATTCGCCATTTCCCATTTGTCTTCTTGACCATGACAACGTTGGCCAACCATTTTGTGTACTGGATTTCTCGAATGAAACCCGCTTCTAAGAGCTTGGATACCTCCACTTCAACTGCCTTCTTTCTCTCTTCCCCCATTTTTCTTTTTCGTTGGGCAACCGGTTTTGCCTCACGGCACACTGAGAGTTTGTGACATAGGAAATTGGGGTCGATACCTGGCATATCGGTCGGCTGCCATGCGAATAGGTCTTTGTTTTTTCTAACGACTTGTCCGATTTCGCGCCTTTCCGTCTCGGATAGGTTAGAGCCCAGGTAGGTCACGTGTAGGTCGGTCGGCCCGATAACAATAGGGTGTCGGTCTTCAATCGGCTCGACCCTCTCGTCCTGCTCCATTCGAGGGTCGAAGTCCACAATTGTGTCAAGTTCTTGTGCCACTGTGTGCACTCGTTTCACTCCACGCGGTTCGGCCGTTTCGAGTCGAGGCAACCGAAGACTAGCGAAATAACACTCCTTAGTCGCTTTCTAATCGTCATGGACGGTAATGATCCGGCTCGACTCGGAAGGGAATTTCATGGCTAAGTGTGGAGTTGACACGATCGCACCCAGCTTGTTGAGGGAGGGCCTTCCAAGAAGGATGTTGTATGACGTGTTGGCGTGCACAACCACATACTTCACCGGGATATCTCGGGCTTCGGCTCCATCAAAGCAGAAGCGAGTGGATAACTTGATGTACCCTTTGGTTTGGACACGTTCACCGGAGAATCCAACCAAGGGCTCGTTGTAGGGGACCAATTTGGCCTCTGGTATGCCGAGTTGTTTAAAGGTATTCCAGTAGAGGATATCAGCCGAGCTTCCTTGATCGACCAACGTCTTCCGAACAATACAGTTGTGGATCTCAACACTGATAACCATGGGGTCGTCTTGATCAGGATCGATACCTTTGAAATCATCTTCGGTGAATGTGATGGTCGGTAACCTCCGGTGAGTGCGTTCGACCGAGTGTACAGCTCGGACGGCTCGTAGGTGTCTTTTTTGAGTTGAAGAGGTGGGGCTGCCGCTGCGAATCCTCCGGCAATAGTGTTGATGACTCTTCGAGGTTGGGTTGCCGGATCGTCCTCCTTTCGGCCCCTCAACCGGCTTCGTTCCCTGTAAGGACGCCTATCGAATCTGTCTCGGTCATGCTGTTCCCCACGATGCCGGCGATCGTCGTGTCGGGGAGAGCGAGGTCGATCGACAAAACGTTGAAGCTGCCCTTGCTTAATTAAGTCCTCGATTTTATCTTTCAGGGCCGCA